TTTAGTTAATTGATTCGACGCAGTTATGGTTATTGAGTTGTTTTGTGTGGAATCTTGTAGTTAAGTTGTACTTGCCTCTCTGAACTTGTAATGCCAGTTTTAACATATAGTATGCTCAAGTTGTAATTCTGTACACATTTTTATACTACACGATTTTCACAGATGTGGAAGTTCAGGGGATTTTGAACATTATATTAATTTTAAGATTTTATAGTGCTTCCTATATAAATAAGAAAGTAATGAGTATACTGTTATTTTTACTATGTTACAGGAATGATTTTCTTAGTTCTCAGTTATTCAGTTAATACAACAATTTGATTTAAAAGTCATACTGTAAGATTATCAATTATGCTCCATAGCTCTTTCCTTCCCCATTTTTGTAAAATTTTCAGTAGGTTGGAATTTTACCCCTTTCTGTTAGGCACTCTAAGTTTGTAAATAGGCTTCGGGCTCTACTTTTCTTCAAATGGAACTGATATGTTCTGTTCATGAACCAATTGGTATGCCTCTTAAATTCCATGGAGAAAGTTCTATCAGTAACTTGCTAATACTACTTTATCAGTCTTAGGTAATAGGAGATTAGTTTGCATTCCCATCATTACAATTCAAGCTATGTGCTGCTTTGCAATGGCAATGAAATTTTGATTTTTGCTTTCTAACAAACTGTTGAGTTTGTTTTGAATATAGATTAATAACTGACCTTTATTTATTTTTCTCATGCAGGATGATTCCTACTTAGACAGTTACATCAGTACAATTGGTGTCGACTTTGTAAGAGATTAGACTTCATTGGTTGATAAACTTTACTCGGCACAATTTGAAGCCTTGACTGTTTTTCTGCTTTTGTAGAAAATACGCACTGTGGAGCAAGATGGCAAGACAATCAAACTTCAGATTGTATGTTTTTGTACCTCTAAGTTTTTGCCTGATTATTGTTTGAATTGGTCCCATGGGTTAGTGGTTGAAACTCTTACATTTTTTCTTAATTTTCCTTGTTGGTATTAGCAGAGTACAATGAATCACCCACTATACTTTGGAATGACAAAAAATAGATGTATATACAAAATTTCATGTCCTTAATCTATTGCTTGAAATCTTTGGAGAAACCAAGTTAATGCAGTCATTTTCAGAATGAAACCTATCTTAAATTAGCTGCTAGCATAGCTGTAAGCATTCGTCAAATTTTTCCCATAGAAACCAAGTTAACGCAGTCAATTTTCTTCAGAATGAAACTTATCTTCAATTGGCTGCTAGCACAGCTGTATGCATTCGTCAAAATTTTCCCATAAATATTAGTCATTTAGTTCTAAACTTAATGCTTCTGATTGCTGGAGACTTTCGTCTATTGCATAAAGATTGTCTATATGTATGATGAAAAATCATGTGTGTTACGTGTACAAGAATGCAGTTGAACTCCAGCAAAATTTGGCTGATACAATTTGTTATTATTTTTGGCTTGCAGTGGGATACTGCTGGACAAGAACGCTTCAGAACAATTACTAGTAGCTACTACCGTGGTGCACATGGAATTATAGTAATTTTCTTTTTAGCCTCATTATCTGTCGTCGTTAATCTAGTTTAGCGTTTTAAATATTTCTGTTGGTGGAATATTCTGGCAGATAGTGTACGATGTGACTGACCAAGAAAGCTTCAACAATGTGAAGCAATGGTTGAACGAAATTGACCGCTATGCTAGTGAAAGTGTCAACAAGCTTCTAGTTGGAAATAAGTGTGACCTGGCCGATAACAGAGCTGTCTCATATGATACAGCTAAGGTACAGATCTTGTCATTTTGAATGTGTACTATTTGACAAACTAATTTTAATTGATATCCCTTCACTTGCTGTTTAGGCTTTTGCTGATGAAATTGGCATTCCATTCATGGAGACCAGTGCAAAAAATGCCACTAATGTTGAACAGGCTTTCATGGCAATGGCTTCTGACATTAAGACTAGGTATTCTTCTTTTTTGTATGATGTATTTTTTTTCTCCTCCAAAATTCTGAGATCTGTTTTTACCAGAAAAGTGGTACTTGTAATTTCTTGAGTACTGTTTCCTTGTTAAGTGCTTATGTGAAAGTGATTTTTTTTTTTTTTTATTATGTGGTTGACAAAAAATTGATTTTCAAATAATTACTTTGAAACAAGGGCTAAATATCAATGCTATAAGAACCGGCATGGTTGGTTCACCCATAGAAAGGGAGACCTGTCTGGGTATTGCTTAACAAAGGCATGTTAAAAACCTGGATGGAACTCGGTCAAGTTCCCTACATTTTTGGGTTGCATTTTGTTGTCATAAAAAGGAATGATTTTGTTAAGGAGCGACTGAATCCTGCATATATCACTCCTTGATATCATACCACCTTAATGTCGGGAAAATTAACTTATGTTTGTAAATCTTCTATTATTTTTGATGTCTGGTTGAACCCTTTTTCACTGTTAACCGTTCACCTTTTCTGAAGCATGCCCGACCTGGATTTCGAAACAGGGTTAAGTATTTTCCTTTTAAAACTCTGTCATAATAACTGCAGGATGGCAAATCAACCATCAAACAATGGAAGGCCTGCCACTGTGCAGATTCATGGACAACCTGTCGGCCAGAAGAGTGGCTGCTGCTCTTCTTAGTCGACTGTTGTGACTTCACGATAACATGTTCTCATCAATACCGTCCAATCGTGGAAGACTTTCACCAGTTGACAATCAAGCACTTCGACCCAGCAGTTTATATTAGTTCCATTCTTTTAAATCTATACGATTTCCAAGTCCCTGTACAAATTGCGAACTATTGCTTATCAGTCGTATATGTTTGTTGGTATATCTCCTATTTCCCTTAGCTCTGTCCACAGGTAACACTATCATAGCCATCAGTTGAGTCCTATTTCAGGCTGCTAGCCTCAGCATATCTGGAAACAACTATGTCTGTGTTGATTTGTGTTTACATTAAAATTCAGACAAGCTTGTGATAGAATGCTATTTTGGCTACATAGTACTATGGTAGTGGTTTTTGATGATTTTATTACGATGCTGTTAAGATCCATTGTAGTGCGAATAGTTTAGACTATCCCGTGCTCCCCCGGCATATGGACGTATGCTGATTCAAAGGTTATATCTAATTGGCTTGCGCGAATAAGCAAAGAGCAGGGCTATTGCATTGTTGGGTGACTGTCGTATCTCATTCTAAAATCAACCTGAGGTCTTAGAAATTAAATTAGGAGCTTGTTTTAAAAATGCATTTTGAAATAGTAAATTGATGGAAGTTGTGGAAAATTTTTGGATTTGTGTGTAATTTTATTTTATTGAAGAATGTGTGATTGAAAAAAAGAGAGAAATAAATATATTTTGGAAATAATGGAGATCAAATTAACTCTAGTTTTCGAAGTTTTGATCTTAATGACATATTTTGTTGAATCTCATTTACCTTCGTTGGTAACACCTTTTTTGCACTAATCTATTGATAATGAGAGAAGCTATATGTACATGGTAGGGGTTCATAGAGAACTCACACATAAGGAATTTTTTTGAGAGGGTACCCTGTACATGGAGATTGATTCCATCAATTGATATATTGCAGTAAGTTCAAGAAAATTTCATATGAAACTTAAATTTTTTAGTATACTTGGAATTAGGATCAAACATGCTAAAATCTTACATATATATCTATGAAGCTGAGTGTGGAAATGATTTTCCAGCAAGATTACCAATCTCTATTTTCTCCAAGTCAATGCTAAATGTTGAATATCCAAAATTTAGTTTATTTAACAAATGATAAACGTATAAGAAAATAAAATATTATGGATTAATCCTTAGCTTTCTGCCGTGGAACTCATTTCAAGAAGTTGGACATTATTTTATTTTATAATCATGCTACACTACTTTTCTGGTTGGCATCCTTGTTGACATTCTCTAATAAAAAGACATAAATATCCTTCATCTACTCTTTAGTTAAGTCAATGTTATTTATTCCTGATATATGATAACTTTGGTTTATTTCTCCTAATAAAAAAAAAAGTCAATTATGTTCGTATTTATCTATATATCTTCTATCAAAACAATCATTTAATGTTTTAATTTTATTTTCTAATTTATTAATTTCTTTATTAATTCTGACTATATTTTTTGTTCAAAATAAAGGCACAAGTATAAAAATAATTAAGTACAGTATAAAATGATTTAATTTCTTCTCTTTTTCTTTCGCAATCAATTTCTAATCTTCGAATAAAAGTAACTAAAACTTCATAAATAGCAGGAGTGCAAATATTAATGCAAGTATGCAACATAAATAAGAAAGATCTTACAATATTGAAGCAGAAGGTCAATGCAGAGTAATATCAATGAAATTTCCCTCGAACTTGCACCCATATTGTTAGTGTACTCAGATATAAATGATCGGTGTTATTTGAATTTAAGAAAGTGCGTTATGGTCCAACTTCCGCACACGTAATTGGTTTTCTCTCTTTTTTGCATATCTCAAAATAGATCACACGAAATCACATTTTTCCTTTCAACTCCTTGTTAAAACATCATCTTGAATGGTAACAGGATTCTCACTAACCCTCAAAGTTTTCACCGTTGGTAGGGGTGAGCGTGAGTTGGGTTGTGTCGGTTTTTGCCCCAATCCAACACGATTGGTTTGATTGAAATTCAACCTAACCCAACCCACGTAAAGATTGAAACCCAACCCAACTTGATCAAATGTTGGTTGGGTTGGGTTGTATTCAATAAAGAAGCATAAAAATGAAGAGTCACAATCAACTATAATCAACACTCAAAAGGATATACACTACTTTATTTCCAGTTGTGATGTTCGAAATAGTCCAGCAGGCTTCCTTTTTAATGCTTTTCTTATGGCTACCAGTCAAGAGGTTCAGAAGACAGGGCAGTGCATTGTAGTTGATGATATACTGTAAAAAAAATACTAGACTTCTCAGCCATTGCAGGTTACAACCAATCAAAATTACTGTGTACAATGATCTACAAGGGACTTCACAAGAAAACCAAAATTCAAGTAGGGACAGCTGAAGTACTTCCAGCAGGCTTTGCAGCCAAAGGTCGGTGGCGAACAAATGGAGTAGCCGGATTCTTGGAAGCATTAGAAGAGAACAATTGTCTCCTGTTTTCATGAACCTTCAAGTTCTGTAAAAAATCCATGAAAATGTTGTTCACCTTAATGAAATATTTTAACAGGATATAAAGTAAGTTCATTCATCTAGAATATGGAAATGCAAAAATAAATTCGTCAGTAGAACACAAGGTGAAAACATCTTGGCTCACCTCTCCTTATAGTCAATACTTCCTTGAACTCCTTTGTGGCACTCATCAACCGATTCTGCAGATCATCAACTACTGTTGTAGAATGAGTGGTGGTGTCACTTGAAATATTACTATTTCCATTACGTGAGTTGTATAGAAGCTGGAGATCAACTATAGCAGAATTCAGTGCAGTTATCTTGCTTGATAACTACTGTCAGCTCCTGAATTTCCTTGGTGGGATCATCAAAAACTGAGTCCTCTTGGCCACTGCAGTAAAATCGAATAAATAAGTAATCTATTTGATCAGGCCACACACTAATCCACCTGAGTGATTCTCAAGAAAAGGAACACGATAAAGGAAATGCTGACTGTTCCAAAATAAATAAATAAACTCCATGGCCTTAAAGGTTTCACGGTGCTTTTCATCCACTAGAAAATTAAAATCTTCCGAAAGGAAAGAGTCTGATTGTATTTGAATATTTACAATTCAAAATTTTTGAATCTCGTCAACAGCAGAAATTAAATAGAACTTTGTTCCTTGAATAATCTAACCCTGCCATTCTCTGTTAATAGAATAATCTAACTTGATGTCATAACAATTTCCCGGCAAACCAAATTTCAGTCAGTCAAAAAATCTAGACATTCACAACTTATTCATGGGTTATTTCCGTAATTAAATTTCAAAAACTTACTTGAGGTGTATACACGAAAGGAGGCGTCTTCTTCAGTTGGTCATGGTGGTTTCTTTACGACCGTGGTGGTCGCTTCGCGGCGGAGGAAGATCGGAAATTAGAACTCCATAGAGATTACCTTATTACAAGTTTCTAATGAAAGAGATAAACAGAAATGGTTACAAGATTCGAAAAACTAGAGAGAAAGATGGTTTTTTGCTTAAGGATGGGATGCCTTCTTCTGAGAATTAGTCTTTTTATTACAAGTTTCACTTCAAAGACTGAAACTGAAAATGTTACAAGATTTGAAACGTAAGGTAGAGAGATAAATTTTTGGTTTAAGACTCGATTGCCTTCTAAGAATTAGTCTCTTATTTATAGACTGGAAAAACTCCACAGTTGTCCTTCATTATTGTTGTGCTACTGTGTAAGATAGTGGGTATCTTACTGTAGCCTAAAGTTCTTTGTCTTATTATGGAAAATAATTGAGATAAACCCACATTTTTTCTTTATCAAAAATGCTTTTGATAAAGTAGTGATAAAGGGGTCTATTTCTTTTATTTTTCCATATGTGACTCAAACCATCCCTCCGAAAATTTTGATGGATCCAAGGAAATTGGTGAGATGTCGCCTTCAGTGCAACATCATTCACACTTATGATTCGGATACCGTCAAAATTGTTTACACATCTCATTTTTCATCTTTTCTGTACCACTGGCTTGTCTTCAAAAATATGATCACATCGTGTATCAAGATAGTGCCAATCTTGTTTGATGGGTGCCACAGCTTTGCTGTAAATCAAATGATTCTGTGAGTCACACACCCAAATATTTTGTTTTTCTTCAATAATTTTCTGAATATGCTCAAACTGCTCCTTATATCCTTTAACTCTACGAAAGGCCATCAAATTATTGATGTCTTCTGGGGTAGTATCATGAACTTCACTCTTTTCAGGCTGAAATTGCTTAGAAGTAGTGGCCATTCTGATAACATGGCTTGCTAGAAGTAGTTTATCTTCTTCATAATTCCACTCAGGACTTGTAGAGAAAAGTCTGATATATATATGTTCTAGTGTTTCAGAACTTGACAATATTGTTCAATGGCTCGAATTACATCCTCCGGTAGCATAGAAATTTCCTTTAAAGATTTTGATGGATAAATGCATAGTATATTTCCCATTTCATATAGAGCACGAAACCAGTATGTTGGAGCTTCTAGATAAATATTAACTTTATTATAAGTTCCATATGTCAAAGTTTTCATCCATCCTCTAATATAGGTAAACCAACAACATGCTAGATTGAACAGTGCATATGCAAAAATAAAATTGTTTTTATTTTTGATATCCATAGCACTACGGGCGTTGCAGACTGTAATGATATTTGAGTGATCAAGCTCTTGTATAGAGATACCGTCATTTGTAATTTTCTTCTCCTGTGAGGGAAAAAAAGTAGTATTCTCTATGACCGATAACTTATGAAGCTTGAATGTTTCTTGTTCGATATTGGTTTTGGGGTTTTCAGATATACTGGTACTAGGGCCTTCAGATAGTATAGCCTCTTTGACTTTCTCAGATATTGGCTTAGCATCAGCCATTTCCATTAATGTTATCTTGGATTCCACAGCAGCAATCTTCACATACATTTCGAACTTCAATTCCTCTAGTTTCCTCTTTATTTGCTCCATTAGA